CACAAGTTGTTACGTTCATCGGTCGTGAACTTCTTTTTTGCATGTGCATTTCGTTGAAAAACGCAAATAATTGACGAATCCACGTGGTTTTCACAGTCCCATTTGTGTGTGTGTGTGTATGTATTTATAATTTTGTACGCACGAGGATTTTCCCCGACCCAAATATCGCGAAACGTGCGCAAAGAAGAACGCAACGAAAAAGAAAAGAAAGAAGCAAGCGTGCGGTTTCGGAATTTTCGCGCGCGCGATGGCGCCGTTTCCCAAAAATAAATCTACGGCGGCGGCGACGACGGCGGCGTCGGCGTCGCGGAGTCCCGAAATTAAAGTATTTTTAGTCATTGACATAACATAGCAGCAGGATGCGGCGTTCTCCCGGATGGATCCCCAGCAGAACTAATCGCAGCATCGAGAAGGCAATGAAATAGAAACAATATTTCAGAATTTGTTTTGTGTGTGTGTGTGTGTGTGCGTGCGTGTTTGTTTCCGACTCGTTGTGTCATCTGATCGTCACGTGTTTTTTCCCCTTATCTATTACATTCTTTGACACTTTTCACCCACTTCACACACCAACGACGTATCCACCGCACTATCAAAGATCTAGGGGACATCGGTTGCTATTTATCTCTCACTCTATATTACATCCGTTATCATCATCATCATCATCGTCGCCTCTAATCGTAATTTCAATGCGCGAATATGGCAATGATCGATTGTTCTAAAACTGTCTTATCCTGGTCTAGTCTAGTGAGGCTAGACATGGGACACCAGTTATTATTTGCCTTTTTTATTGTTTTGTATTCATTGTTTTTTTTTGTTTTTTTTGTCTTTGTTGTTCGAATAGGATTTTCGTCTTCGTCAAATTGAGCGAAGAGAAATCGAATTGCGGCGTGGCATGGAATATGTGGCGTGTTGTCGGTCGGTGTGCGGGGAGTTTCCTCCTCGCCACTCCGCAACACACCGCTCCATCACGACCTACCGACAAGCGTGCGTTTAACGTCGAGTAGTGGTGACTGGCCATAATAATCTGTGGCGCGAACGCACAGATAAAGCCGCATTATCGTCTATTTCCTTTGCCTCTACAAGTGTTATCACACAATTGCCGCTGCCGCTGCCGACGATGACGACCACGTCAACAGAAAGAAAAGAACTCTTCGCAACCCGAAAATGCAACAAATTCTAAACAAGAGAGAATGTTGGATTGAAAACATCATTGACATTGACACTTGAAAATCGCAACGTGTACATGTATGTGTGTGTGCGTTTTTATTTTTTTTTTCGTTGTAATATGTTGTTTCGTTATCTAAACCGCAGAATGATAGATAGATAGCAAAGGGAAATTCATCGTTGCCGTGAATGGAGGAGCCGCGCTTTTACGTAAACGCTCGAATGCGAAGAAAACAAACAGAAAGCGAATGCGGGGATGTTGTTCTCTCTCTCTCTAGCATTGCTGAAAAGAGAAAGAGCAACGAACGTTGAAGGAGAGGAACGAACATTCGAATGTTGTTTGGTTGTTTCATCTTCTTTTTTTTTTTCGATCGTTGTTATCATCATCTGCTCTTGGAAACTTTATCTCTCGTTCGAAAATAGTTGATGGATGAATCGCATCTCGCTCCTCTCCTTCAACGTTCGTTGCTCTTTCTCTTTTCAGCAATGCTAGAGT